AGACCAAAAGAATCACAGGCAAGCAATCGATACCGATCTGAAGTCTTCGATCAGCAAAATTGAAAAATGTATCTAATAGTGGACAGTATAGCTTTCTTGATCTTCCGCTTTGTGTAACATAGTTCTCCTAGGGAGAGGATCATGACAAATGAGTCACGAAATTCGAAATAACAATTCTAATATTGACAGCATTTCCAAATGTAAAACACAAGCGTAGTTATGCAATGTTTAATCACATGGTTTAAACATTAACCACAGGGTCACCGTGTGAGTAAAATTTGAATTTCACAGATTTGGGATAAAACTTTAGTCATGCATTTTTCTTTGTGAGCATTGAAGTTCAATCTTTATTTCATTTGACTTTAAGATAAAGGAGCAAAATATCAGTTTATGTAAGATAAGGAATAAAAACCTTCCGTGTCCCACGCGTTAGCTGTTGATGTAACAAATGATCGGTTTCTGGCAAATATGTAACAACCCTCATCCTTTGTTAAAGCTTCACTTGACTGATTATGTGACTCAAATATCTTAAGAACATTTTCAGTTTCTCGACGCTGATCAATTAACTCCAAAATAGTCAATTAACTCCAAAAACTTTCCGAAGTACAAAAAACAAGTCGTAAAACAGGAAGGTCAACAAGGAAATAGGAAGTCAACAAGTTCTGGTTTACATTAACATGAAAAAAAAGGTTAAAAACATTTATTTTAGTTACATTAACATCAAAAAAGAGTTAATCATTAATATCTGAATGGCCACTATAATTGCTGTAAAGGCACGCAAACTAATGGCTGGCACCTCAAATTGCACAGCGAAAGAAACGACATAGTTACTTTAAAGTGTCTTGCTCATTTCCGTAAAAGTGACTGAATACAGAAAAAAGTGTAGACATTAATGTAGAGTGTTTTTTAGAACTGAATCACAACCCACATGTAAACATGCAAAACACTGAACATGAATAAAGAAGTTCGCCATCTTGACTTCAAGTTAAAATTGACTCCATGCTTAAAACAGTGCGCAATCTTAGGAGTAAGAATCATTTACACTGTAAATATTGGTTTTCGAGGGAAGAATGTGAGGTTCTGAGCTCCTTTTACTGAAAAAAAATATATTGAAATACATTCTTGGATCTAACACAATGAATATATGAAATTCATAGATCTGAACTGCGGTTATAGAAACGTATTTGTGCACGATCCTCGCAAACGTATTGTGTCTGAACTGCGGTTCTAGAAACGTATTTGTGCACGATCCAAGCAATAGTGAATATCTGACCTGAAAAAAATTCAGGCCTGCACGGGATTCGAGCCACTGACCTCTGCGATATTAGTGTAGCGCTCTATCAACAAGCCAACCGGGAGCAGGTTATCAAATTAATTCGACATAAACCCGTAAGATGATAAATCAAACACAACAATTATATGAAATTCATATATCTGAACTGCGGTTATAGAAACGTATTTGTGCACGATCCTCGCAGTAAAGAACACTATTTAAGCAATAGTGAAGATCAGACCTGAAAAAAATTCAGGCCTGCACGGATCTTTTGATATTTAAATCTGAAATCTCATTTGCAAAATTTAGAAAAGATGTCAAAAATAAGTTGATTAATTAAAGCTGGACTTGATTGCCTTCTAAACAATAATCAGCAACTGGGTAAGTTGACGAGATTTGAATCAATATTTGGCCTAGCTCGTCTAAGGTCCCGTAGATAATGTAAAGTGGGCATGGTTCATTATTATTTTGTTTATTAGGTGCGAAACAAAGGCATGAATAGTGCAAAGTACTTCGGGCTTTTTCTCAAGTTGAAACGCAAGCGAAATCCGCGCTTTGATTTCGGTCGTAACAATGGCTTCTTCGAACTAGTCATGACCTAACCATGGAAGCATGCAAATTGGCCGTCATTCAAAATAGAGGACATATTCAAGGACTCGCTTAACATGAACACGTACAAAGAGTAGATAATTGTTAGGACGTCATTTAATGAATAGACTCTTTCATTGCTACAAAAGGCATTGAAACTAAAAGAACTTTTACGATGAGCCATAATGTAAAGCTGCATGAAAATGTTTGCTCCTATTTTTAAAGTGCCTGACTACGACGAGCATTTAGAATAGAAAGCGGAGGCTTTTATGGAACTGAGTCACAATCCAATCAATGCTTTCGGAGAAAAGTTAAACAGAAATACAATGAACATTAACATAGAAAGTTCAATCAGTTGTGGAATGTATTTAAAAAAATTTGGCTTTTTCGCAATTAATTAACAAAAAAAACCGAGTGGAAACAAATCTCTGCTTTTGTTTTGCCCTATGTGCCGGGATGCTGAGAATAAGTCGAACTCCAACTTATAAAATACGTTTTCATTTAAAGTCTGACGGATAGTAAAATAGTCTTCTAAATGGCTAAGAAGATTCTAGAATAGCTTAATATCATGACACTTACATGGGTTCAAAGACCATGACAGTTGAAGTTGTCATATCACAGGAAATATAAGATGTCCATTTGACCGGAAGATAAATAGGAACTATTAAAAGTAAAGTCTGTTTTTTTTTCTTTTTTATGCCTCAGTGCACGAATTTTTCCATCAATAACTGACTTAACGTGATCAAATAGCATTCAGATATTTGTTACGTTAATAACGACACTTTGATCTAAGCAGATTTTTGAAGGATTTACGCCTAGAGCATCATCTCTTATTTCAATGATCTTTTTTTTCTATGTTTCAGAAGAGGCGAAATGAACCTACCATAGGGGGTGTAATTAGGAAATGATTAATTGCTTAGCGTCGATTGAAACCACAACGTCGCCGAGTGAGTTAAATTTTGAATTCCACAGATTTGAGATAAAAGGTTAGACATGCATTTCCCTTCATGAGCACTGCAGTTTCAAATATAGTTATTCCACTTTGACTTAGATGAGCAACATATCAAAACATGGAAGCTGAAATTTTAAAAAACTTTCGACACCCCACCCCTTAGTTGTTTATATCACAAAACGACGGTTTCTGACTGATAACGGGACTCAATTAACTTAAGAAGTTTCTTGAAGTTTTTCAACAAGGTCAATTAAGTCAAAAATACTCTCTGGCGTACAAAGACCACGCCATAAAACAAAAGAATAGGCACTTTAATAACTGCAAAGTTGAGCAAACTAATGGCTGGGACTTCAACTTGCGAAGGTAACAACACGACATGGTGAAATTTCTCACCCCCGTCTGTAAAGTGATTGAATACAGAAAAGAGTATAGGTTTTTTTTGCTTGAACTGAATCCCAACCTAAACACGCATGACAGAAAAACAGAGAACATGAATCAAGAAACTTCAGAAAACCTTTCTACTTTGCACACTCGGCTCGGACGAAATACCCACAAATTAAAGGACTGATAAAATTTTTTGTATTTTGGTAATTATGTATCAAGTTTCAAGAGTTATGCTACCATCTCTACGTGATCGCACCATGGAGTGATAATGGAAGTAAAAGTTTAAAAAACACGTTAATGCCCCACCATTAACTTATTGATGCTACAAATCAATAGATTCTGACAACTGTACAAAAGCTTACTCTGTTGAAAAAAGTAATTTTAAAACGTTCCATTTGGTCGCTGATGCAATTCAAATGCGTTGAGAACATCGTCCAGTGGTATAACAATAGCAGTCTTCACGGTCCATTAGATTAAAATAAACTTCCTGGCGCATAATGATCAGAAAATGCAACACTAGTTTTAAGTTCTACGCACAGCTTCAAAGGCGTAAACACTCTTCTGAGCTTATAAGGCAATAATGAGATACGAGAAGCACATGTTGGGTAGGCTTTTGAAAGGATCCCTCTTTGGGCGAAGAAGGGGATGGGGGGTCTAATTTACGCTTTCAGAAAACGTAAAAAAAAAATCCACGCTGAAATAGTTTTTTTGCTCAACCTACATGTAAGTTTACCGAATAGCAGAAAAGTCAACTAAGATATTTAATACAAGTATTGCTAACTTAAATGACTACGGCTAGAAGAACTTAAACAATTTGGTTGTTTTGCCTAAGTAGATTACGATGCATGCAAGTTTACATATGATTTTTTTCCCTTTTTCTTTCTTTTCTTTATGCCTGAGCGCACCTTTTTTTTTCTCATCAAGTACTTGCTCGTCTAGATCAGATAACATTAAGTGACTTGTAGATGGCATTGCATATTTTCTTCAACAGCAAGCCACCGTGCCACAATACTAAGTAACGGTACGATGCTTATGCCATGTCGAGCTTTCTGTTCTCTGAGTAGCGGTGAGTAACGAAGCGTGATTTACAAATCACTGCTCATAGCATAGTCCGGAAAAAACACTTGAAAAAGTTTTTCAATCTGTTTTACCTTTAGCGGTTTCCCACGATGGAAACTATTTTAGAACACAATTATTTACGCAAGCAAATGACATAAAAAGGGTGCTCATTTTATTGCTCGAACACACTAACGCCTTTTCGTCCGAGCTGCTGAAACCTCCACAGTCTTGTGACAAGCTGTTCAAAGTAAGTTTCTCCCGTTCTTTTGCGAATTTTCTTGTAACACTGAATAAAGTTACATATTGCCCGCTGCACATTCGGAGTAAGTTTTCAAAAGGGCCCTGCCCCAAAGTTACACAAGTGTGTTAAATATATTCTGAGCTGCTAATCAAAAAGTACGCAACTGGCTCTTAAAACTACTAATTTTAGAGATGAACATTTTATCCATTTCCTCGTCTTCCATTTCAAATGCCTAAGAGATCTTGCGAGGTTTAAAATTCAGTAGCTGTCTAGTTTGCTTCTCACAATAAGCTAATTTTGATGTCTGTCATATTTTTATCCCCAAAGAATTGTTCCTATTTTACAAATCCCTTCAGGACAAAGCCAATCAAAGCCGAAAGACCAGGCACACTTTTTAGTTACCCACTGACTCCCAAACCGATCATACTGCTCGGTTTTTTCATGTTAGAGATATTTTCTCTTCTTTCTTTCTCTCACGGTCGAGTTTTGAGCCCAAAATCTCTCCATATTTCGGGAGGATCAGAGAACCAATAATAATCCGCCTTTGAGCATAAATTTTGTCATTTTTTAGTCAATAAGGCAATCAGTCAGTCAGTCGATCAGCCAGTTTGTCAGTCATAAAGAGGGTAAGTTCCTAAAGAAACTGTGGTACTGCATCGGCGGTCTCTATGATGTACATTTGGGCTTTAAAAATTTATTTCTCTTTATTTAGCTTCCTTTTTGCAAATGATGTTGACGAAACTGTTGCTTGCTGTGGCTTTATCAGGTAAAACAACTCGTTCTTTCGCAATGATATTTCCTCTAGGGAAAGTTTTGTATTGAATTTAATGTTGCTGATGATTCATTTGTAGCATGCGGCCCTATACTAATTGGCTAACACCGACTTGTCAAATGAGTCTTGTAAGGTTAAGTTCATCACTCATTGAATATTTTTCTTGTTTTGCAGTTTGTGCTGTGGGTCTAAGTAACAGTTAGTCCTGCTCCAAAGAAGGAACCAAAGTTTTAAACGAGTGCGGTGATACATGTTACTGCAATAATGGTCAACTGCAGTGTTGCCGAGTGCGAAAGGAATTTACATCTATGACTGAACACGAGAGAACTTTGTACGTTGACGCCGTAAGGATAGCTTCGACCGATCCTACATATCGAGACGATTATAAGGCACTTATTACTTTGCACGAAAAACTCTTCCACGAAGGAATTCATGATCAGGAACAGTTTCTTCCCTGGCACCGTTGGTAAGTGACTAGGAGGGCAAGCATTAGGGTAAAATAACTATGAATAAATGTCAATTTCAGCAGATTTAAGCCTCTGACGGATACGGATGTCTACATTTTCAATAACTCACCCAACGAGTTCTCCCTCAAGAAAGATTATTTCCTTGTTATCTGAAGTTTTTTCATCCACAAAACTTATTCCCAAGCTGCCTGCCATTACCTCATCTACGGGATTTTGTTTCACTTAGAAGATTAGACCTAGACGACATAGGTTTCGGAAAACACTCGAGAGACTGGGTGTAAATAATTCAAGTGGAATTAAATAATCCTAATGGAATTGACATATGCACATCCCAAAGCCTAGTCAACAGGCCTCCCTCTATGTTCATTCGCTTTATCTTTGATTCAGTTTAAAGAGTGCGTATATCAACGACACGTAAATATTTCTAACCTTTCTTATCTCTTCCATTAAAGGACATACGACCATCTCCATTTACCAGCTTTATGTTTGACACCATGTTTCTTGTTTGATATTTCTTCCCCAGGTTCACTCTTCAATATGAAAACTTGTTGCGCCGAGTTGACTGCCGAGTAACCATCACTTATTGGGACTGGAGCCTCGTATCAGGTGACCCATGGAACACTGACAAAGGTAGAGTTTGGTATGACGGACCATCTGGACTTGGAGGCGATGGCGTTCCACCATCTCTTTGTATTCAAGATGGAGTCTTCCGTGAAGATCTTTGGAATAAGACAAACGGGCAGTGTCTCCGAAGACGCTTCAATGGTTAGCTGTTTTCAATATTAGTTTATCAATTGTTTTCGGCTTTGGATAATGCATGTTACGAATCCTTTCGAATTCTGAATAGTTCACTCAACTGGTTAAAAGTTAATATTCCCGATCGCCTTACTGATGATCGAACAGTATTCCACTCAAACGTTTTTACGCTGGATCTCTTTTTCGGCTGGAAGCGAAAATTTCCCCAGAGCGATTAAATGTATCGTTGAGGATAAAGGCTACAAATTGCGATATGAAACTCTTAATGGTAGAAATATTCGAAATAACACTTAAATTTTGAAAAAAAAATTATGAAGTAGAAAAAGTAACGACGACAACGTACTGCTGGTTATCCTCCAAATTTCAGGATCATTTAGAAATCTGCCTCAAAAATTTTCACGTTTTGTGAGGACCTTGAGTTATAAAAAGCTCATATATGTAGTCTATTCAAGAAGCCATAATATTAGTCTCCTCAATTCACTTCTATACAGGAATACATTTAAAAATGTGCGCATTTCAGGTTTTAAGCAAAAAGAACCAAATACTCGTCGGAGCTTCAAAAATTTCACAATTTTGCTCAATGTTTATTACAAACTCGAACAGCTCATTCCTTATCGCAGTGGGGTTAAGGAAAATAAATATCGATTCACTAGACCACGAGTTGGTTTCATTCTATATTGAATAGTACGTTGCAAAACCTCAGATGCAAAATAAAATCGTAACGTCATATTGAAAGAGCATGTAGCCATTCTCAGTTGTTTGCAGATACTCGAATCCATCCATAGAAATCTAATCTGAATACAACTTATCGCAACAAAAGAATCTCTCAGCTTTCTTAAAAGAGATACTTTTGCCTAAGATTCCCCACTTAATATAAATGGAGAGTTGCCTCCGAAGCAACGATTTAATTTCTTAGTTTACAATATGAAATTATCATGGCAATGGCAATATGGCTCAAGTCATTGAAAGTTAGTAAAGTATAGTCATCAACTCTCGTTTACGTAGGTTTCACTCCAGACGCGGTGGATGTCTTCCTGGTTATGGAACAGCCCGCTACCATTGATGGTTTCAAAAGCTTCGAGGTTGGCCTTCGCGTGGATCTCCATAATTAAGTTCACTGCCAGATAGACGGTGACATGTGTGAGATTACCGCTGCTGAAGCTCCTGAATTTTTCCTTCATCATGGCTTTATCGATAGGATCTGGTCCGACTGGCAAAACAGAGGCCCAGATTACTTGACCATCTTTTTTGCTAACTTGACGGACCCCATGGAAGGAACAGAGTATAGCCCTAGAGATTTTATTGACAACAGGAATCTGCCAAACGTAGAAAGTCCCGAAGGAAAGACCTGTATTTCATACGAGGCCCCCTTGGTACCTGTCTACCAGGAGGTATGGAAGCTCCTGCGGGGAAAGACCCGACAACAGATTCTCAAAGTCCGACGACACCCCCTGAAGCCTCTTACTGATCGCCAGATGAGGTTTTTCCAGGTCAGCCCAGAAGAGCAAAGAAAAGCCAAAGAAATTCTGCAAGGATTGGAACCACGTTTCAAGCTGAAGGCTACTGCTTCACTTTTTGGAGAGGACAGGAGTCTTGGATTCAAATTAGCCTCTCTTCGACCCACCAACGGAAGGAAGCGTTCATTCATTAAAAGAAAGAAAACCCTTCTGAATGAGTAAGTGGTGGATGTCTGGTAACAAACTGTAGCCCCTGACACTTCTTGCATTGTTTTCAAAGTTGTTTTTTATTCGCATAAAACGGGCATCCAGTACTCATAGATAAAACGTTTAACTAGATAATAGATGCGGTTATAGTTGATAGTTTCGTGCAAAAATGCATGATAACTAAAGTGGTTAGAGATTGAACAAATTTGAAAAAATAAAGCGTTTTGTCATTGCTTAATGTCAGTCGTGGTGAAAATAGTTTTACATGAGCTGCCTTCGAAATTCAAAATCAAAACTAGTATTATTCTCCATTATTATTCAAGATCATTATTCATGGCAAAAAGAAAAAGAAAGAAAGAAAACTCATAATGAATCCAATTCATACTTTTGAATCATTTCATTCCCTTGAAAAACGCTTTAAAGAACTTTTTTCCCTCCCATTTTTTCTGTTTCGTCGCTAGATTTCCTAAAAAACGCACATACTTTGGATTGGAGAATTTTGTTAAGATGTTCTTGCCAATTCCTTTGATAAAAAATCGAAATAATGGCAAGTTTTAAAAAAACCTCAATCAGCAAATTAGAAAAATAATGGGAAAATAAAGGGAAAAAAGAAAGAAAAAAAATCTAGAAAATTCAAGAATTAATTATATAAGTACCGTAACCCTTCTACTCATCGGACGTGATCATTTGTGACCCTCCACGGATTTCAGGGAAGAAGGTGAACGCACGCACACGGTGCGCTCGCACACTAAAACAAAAGAACGAGCTTTTAGCACGTGAAGAAAGGGGTAAGTTTCTAAAGAAACCGTGGTGCTGCGTCGGTGGGGGTAAGAAACTAATTTGGTTATATCAACTAAGTTAAATTGTAAATTGGCCACCGTAAAGAGATAAAAAGCTGACGTTTGGAGCGTTAGCCCTTCGTCAGAGCGTTCGTTTTAACACGTGAGCTTCGTGTTAGTGACTTGCCTCATTAACTTCGCAGCCATTGTCTTGCTGCGCACGTTAGAAACAAAAGAGCGTGTTCAGATCTTGTTTCCAACTTTGCACGATATAACACGGAGACTGTGCCAATTTTATATCACGACTCTTAAAGTTAAAGTTGCTCTTGATCTGCACAAGAAGTAAGTCATGAGCTTTAAGGCTTTTTAGCGCACCGATAAGCCCGGCCGTTATACAACGCTCAATATCCAGAGCACCTAAATCGCCAAACATAAAGGAATATCTCGACTTGTTGTCCATCATTTAAAACTGTTTGATTTTTTTCCTTCATTTTCGAATTCCTCATTTTCTTAAAACAACTTGCAAAACACGGGCCGAACGACAAAGTCCTCTGCTCTTGAAATCGTGCATGAACTTTTGAAGTCGGGTAGCAAGCACAAGCTTTTTAAAATAATAAGAGCGAACCTGTGTGATGCAAAAAAAATGGCTACTTCACTAGCTATGCGAATCTTTTTGTAGGTTTTGTCGAACATCAATTTTTCAGCCAATACAACGGGTCCAAACCTGAACTCTACGGTCGCTACATCGACGACTGTATCGGCGCTACCTCCTCTACCAGAGAGGAGCTCACTCAATTCATANCTTGAACAAAAGCTCATCTTTCAAACCGGCAGTCTAAATCCCACAGGGATCAATGAACGCTTTTCATTCCACTAATTTATTCATGTTTTTCTCGTTGCCATGCACCCACCAATAACGTAGCTCCATTTTCTGCCTTTAAAAGCACACACAACCCACAATTCCTCTATTCGCTCCGACGAAGGGCTAACGCTCGAAACGTCAGCTTTTGTAATCATTACGGTGGCCAATTTACCATTTCAACTTTGTTGATATATCCAAATTAAATGGCTACTTCTTTGAGGGTAAAATGTGTTCTCCAGAGAAGTTTGAACCTTAACTTTTGCTCAGTTTATTATTATTATTATTATTATTATTATTATTATTAAATTTAAACTTATACCGCGCAGTTTCTATAAAAAATATTCAGTTTGCGAACTAAAGAGATCGTTAATACCTTGGACAATTTTGATTTTGATTATCCTCGCCTTACAGTTGCGTTACGCAAAGGTATAGACCGCAATACTAAAGACTAAGAGCTCGTAAGATTCCAAGATCGGCGTGCAGAAAAAAATAAGCGGCTTCACTAGGAAAGCTTCGTTTTGCGTCGGCTAACTAGCGGTTATTTATTTTAAAAATGCCGGTTTGCATAGAGTGATGAACAGGGACCGCGTAGGAGACATGGAGCTGGAAATCTGTCGCTGAAAGGATTCACAAAGATTCGGTTCTGGGCGTATTAACTGTGTGAAGCGATAAGGAGTTATATTTTACAAGGTAAGAACTAAGTTTTAAAAAGGTAATTCATATGTTTAAACTAGGCCCCTCCAGAAAAACATCAAGTACCAATCGAAGCACCATCCGACATCAGTTCTCCTCCAATGAATAAAGGCCTCTCAGAACTGTCCTGTCATTGTGATTGTGGACAAGGGAGGAAATTTGATTTTTGACAACTTTCACCTCGAGTTACAGGTGTTTAGTATCATAGAAGAGCATTCTACATATCACGAATAGATTTCCAGTGTGTTTCACACTTGTCCGTTGAAAAACATGTTTCGGGAAACCTCTCATGTTTGGGGCCAGCCACTTTGACCACTAGTTTTGCAAGTTGGTGGCTCCTAAGGAGGCGTTGTTACTCATAAGCATAAATTTTTTTTTGCTGTAAGTGGCATTAAACCTTCTTCCATAAGGACCCATTCAACCGGCAAGGAATCCCCATTCCACTGCAAATCTGTTTACAGTGTCTCCCACAGCTGGACATGTCAACAGCACTCCGCCACAAGACAGAAACATACCACACTCTCAAGAAATTTGCAATAAATGGAAAAAGTTACCCAGATCAAGTACCCCTTCTCCTGATCAAATATCTGGCGCACTAAACTAGAAACAGCCCAACCAACAAACTAAAGATTTCCTAATGTTTGATGTAAAATCTGACAGGAATGAACAAAATAGTGCTTGAACAATATTAATACCAGAGTAAGACCAAACTCAGATCTAAGTCAGTAGATATGATGCCCATATTATTACTGGTAGAGCTACAAACATAGATAAGGATTCAAATTATTCTCATTTTTTGATGTAAGTGAGTTTATCGGGGTGTACATTCAATGATGCCACCGAATAAAAGACCTTCCTCAAGACTCCACTTGTGATTTCTTTTGATCTCTTTTCCAAAACTTTTTTCCAAAATTTGATTTGCCAAACTAGGGTTGCAGCTTATCCACTAGTGCCTCTTTTACCCAGTGTTTACAGTATGTTTTATATTAAATTTGAAAAGTTAGGCAAGTTTCTGTCAGAACTTTATAGTTGCAAAATTCATTTGCTTAGAAGTTGTCATTTTTATCATTTTTAGGTTGTCAGAGAAAAGACAATATTTCCTGTCACTGCTGTACTCCCACTTGGCAATTTCTTTTCTTTTTTTACATTCCTAATTGCATTCTTATGTTTTTGCACGCACATTTTTTCTTTATTGTTTTCGCATTCTTTTCACTCCTGGTGATTTATTTCTGTTACACCTTTTCGCATACTTTTCCTTTGTTTAATTTTATCTGTATGAGTTTCTTGCTGAAAATGAACATTGGGGTATCAGAGTCCGTTCATCTCTAAGATTTTTTGTCCTTCACGTTCACAAGTCATACAAAATTTTAGAAGTGCCTTTCCTTGCCTGATTGCATTTCCTCTAATTGTTTTGCTTCTTTCTATTCCTTCTACTTGCAGTTTGTAATAACTTGTGATTGTTTTATTCTCCATAACAACCACGATCAACTGTAATGTTAGTGAACAATAAGGTGTTCGTGAGTTGAAACCTGGACTTTGTTGGCAGGCACAGTCTCCAATCTCCCATTATGCAACCCCTTTTGACTACCTCAGTGCCAGTTATAAAGTTAGTACATTTGCAGAAGATCTGACATGGCCACACTCCAGGGAGTGTTATTCTTTTAGGTTGATGGCAATCTTTTTAATCTTTCTACTCATTTGACGTGTTAGAATATAGCATTTCCATTTCCTAACCAGGTTTTTATATAATGATCATTTGTCGATTCTATCCCTGGCGGAGTGCTAATAAGATCGTATTCAATCTGAGTGGTCCAAATCTCAGTGACTCCTTTGAACTATGCAGGAGCACTAAGACAAAATCCAACCATCAATATGATTAAGACACAAACCAAACACAAAAGTAAACTGTTATAAATACTCCTTATTTGCCAAAGTTATCAAGTTTTGGAACGATCTTCCAAGTAACATGATCTAATGCCATATTGCCACAAGACTATAATTAAGGAATCAAATGAATATTTACTGATTGAACATTCTATACTTTTTTAATGACATCTCTGTGATTTTTTTATATATTTTATTACCTTGAATTTATATTAGTGTTTTTATAATTAATATTACTATTTTCTTAATGCTATATTTCTATAGTTTCTTTTCTCTTTAAGAGATCCTGCAGGCTTAACCTCGGGGCTTCCTTTCTCTTAAGAACAATTCTTAGCATGACAGTGCCTGTTATTTTCTTTAAAAAAGTGTTGTATTGTATTCACTACCCTTCTCTTCTTAACCAAAATGAGAGCAATCATGTCAGAGGAGACAGTACAAAGCCTACTTGCTAACAGATTCTGGCTGTAACATTCAAGGAAAAGCTGGGAGAAATATTTCCATGGATTCATTCCTTGAGCACAAGATTAATTCCTTAAATTAAGTCAAACTTGGATCTCCTTGACCCGGATTTCAAAGAAGAGTCTTCCCACTCCCAGAGAATAGAAATTATGTTTAATTGGTGTCACTGAAGGTATTTTGATTGATGGTAGTGTGGATGATCAGGATTATAAGAAATCAAAAGAAGACACCAGACTCAATGTTTTGTGCACACTGCCAGGAAGAGAGGGTTATCACTCCTTTCCACATTTATGAGCAAACCTTGGGAATGAAATAGATAATAGAGACTTGTGCAGATGGATACAAACAAGGCTACATGTACATGAATAGACTGAGATTTATGAAAATTAATTGCTGTAAAGTTTCTTCACACTAAAGCAGACAGTGTATGGTAAACGCCATAAATTGCAATTGCAATGCCTACTTGCTAACATACTTTAAAGCACAAAAGCGTACATAGCTATTGTAAGAAACGGCAAGTAAAGGTTTAAACGGTTTATTGAAAATCACACTGCGCCAGGA